TTGTAGTTCCTTTGCATTTCTACATTAAGTTTTACAATCAAACTTTCAATTTCTAAAAAAAAAATCAGTCTGTCCATTATTTATGGGGTTTTGACTGGATTGTGTTAAATTTACAGGTGAATTTGGGCACAGGAAATATAAATATCTAGTCTTCCAATCCAGACTATCTCTCTTCATTTATTTAAGTACTCATTACATTCAGGAATTTTAATAGTTCTTAGGGTACAGATCTGAATGCATTTTGTTAGATGTATCCTACATATTTTATAGTTGTTGATGTTTCTATAAATGGGACTTTAATATTTTTAAATGTCCAAATAATCACTACTAGAGGGCCAGGGATGTAGCTCAGTGGTGCCGCCCTGCCTGGCAAGTGCAAGGTCCTGAGTTCCATTCCTGGTACTGGGGGGAAAAAAAAATCACTGCTAGTATATATTAAAAATAAAGCTGACCTTTATGTTGAGCTCTTGCTAAATTCACTTATCAGTTCTAGTAGTTTTATAAATTCCTAGGGCTGGGGATATAGGTTAGTGGCAGAGTGCATGAGGTCCAGTACCAAAAAAAAGAGTAAAAAAAAAAGAGAATCCATGAATATAAATTCATTTGGATTTTCCATGTACATGATCATGTCATCTACAGTTAAAGACAATTGTACTCTTTAGTTTATATATGTGTGAGTATACAGTGTTGGTTCCAGGATTACCTGTGAATACCAAAATCCAAAGATGCTCAAGTCCCTTATATAAAATGGCATAGTATTTGCATACAACCTGCCCACATCCTCCAGTATACTTCGTGTGGATTGGTTTTTGTTTTGTTTTGCTATGTTACCCAGGCTGGTCTCGAATTTCTGGGCTCAAGCAATCCTCCTACTTTAGTGTCCTGAGAAGGTGGGACTGCAGGCACATGTACCACTATGCCTAAGTCTCATCCCCTTGAAACTGCCTCCAGAGTACTTACAGTACTTAATACGATGTAAGTGCTAGGTAGTTGTTATACTATATGGTTTAGGAAATAATGGACAAGAAAGGTAAGTCTATACATGTTCAGTACTGATGCAACTTTTTTCCCAAATATTTTCCATCCACACTTGGTCGATTCTGTGGGCCCTGAACCTTCAGATACAAGGGAATGGCTGATTAATGCAGGACATTCGCATCTCTATTTATCAATCTATAATGTGTGTGTGTGCCTACCATGGCGGTGGGTGCCAGGACCTTAGGTAATTAAGTTCAATGATAGTGGTAGGAGTGGACATCCTTGGCTTGTTTAATCCTAGTCTTAGGAGGAAAGCCATCTTTTGCTCTAGACATTTGTCCTAGGTGCCTTTTTATCAGGTCGAGGTTTCCTTTTTAGTTCTAATTTGCTGAGAGGCTTTCTTTTATATACAAATGGATGTTAAATTTGGTAGAATGCTTTTTTTCTATTGATATGACCACAATTTTTTCCATCTGCTAATGTGATAAATTATATCAATTGAATGTTTAATATGATTGCCAGGAGTGGTAGTTCATACCCCTAATCTCAGCTACTGGGGAGGCTGAGGCAGGAGGACTGAGGGTTTGAGGCCAGCCTGGGAAATTTAGCAAGAATCTGTCTCAAAATATTTTTTAAAGGGGTTGGAGTATAGCTCAGAGACAGAGTGATTGCCTGGCATGAGCAAGGCCCTTGGTTCAATCCCCAGTTTAAAAAAATAAACTAAATATGAAATCATCTTGCATTCCTGGAATAAATTTCACTTGGCCATAATGAACTCTTTGTATGTACTGTTAATTTGAATATGATCATATTTTGTTAGTATCTTTGTATCTATGCTTTTGAGGGGTATTGCTTCATAATTTATTTGCTTATCATGTTCTTTTGTTTTCATATCAGGGTAATGCTGGTGTCATAATTTGGGAAGTATTTCATTCTCTTCTAGTTCCTGAAATAATTATTGTAAGATTGGTACTAATCTTAATCTTCAATAAAATTGCTGGGTTTGATGGCAGATTCCTGTAATCCCAACTGCTTGGGAGGCTGAGGCAGGAAGATCACAAGTTTGAAGTCAGCCTGGGCAATTTAGTGAAACCCTATCTCGCTGGGGATGTCATTCAGTTCAAAATATTTTTCAATTTCTCTGATGGGTTCTTTGATCTCTGAGTTATTTAGATGTGTGTTGTTTAATCTCCTGGTGGCATTTTCAACATATCTTTTTATTACTGATTTTTACTGTTGTTGTTATGCCTTAGTGCATGGTCTTCTTGGTGAAGGAATATGAATATACACCTGAAAAGAATATGAATACAGCCGGGTGTGGTGACACATGCCTGTAGTCCCAGCACTCAGGAGGCTGAGGCAGGAGAATTACTGTGAGTTCGAGGCCAGCCTGGGAGACTCTATCTTTAAAAAAAAAAAAAAGAACATGAATATGAATAATAAAACATGTGAAGAATGATGGTGGCATTCCGGTATAATCACTTTAGAAAAACTCCTTGACATCCTTATGCTAAACTTATACCAACTCTACAACCTATTTCACTCCTCAATGAATACCCAAAAGGGAAATGAAAAGCTAGGCCCACACAGTTTTACATTGACATCCACTGCAGCTTCACGGGGTATAGCCCCAAACAACCCCAGTTAAATGTCCAGCTGTACATGAACAGCTAAACAAAACTGGCACATCCATTCAATAGAATGCTACTCATCCCTTCAACAAAGGAAACAGCTACTCACACACAAAAATCAAGTGAAGGAGCCAGGGATTTAGCTCAGTGGTTCTGCCACCTGCCTTGCAAGCTTAAGGTCCCAAGTTCAACCCCTAGTACAAAAAAAAAAAAATCAAGTGAAAGAAAAAGCACAAAAGAGTATATACTGCATGCATGCATTTATATAAGATATTCCACAAGTGCAAACTCATCACTAGCAACAGAAAGCTGCTCAGTCCTTACAGCTGCTCAGTGACAAAGCTCCTCAGGGAAATGGAGAAAAAGCCTGCAATGGGGCTTGAGAGAAATTGGATTCTGCTTTTGGAGAAGTTGGATTCTGCTTTTCAAAATCAAGTATGAGCTGGATGTGGGTGTATGAGCTATTTAGATGTGTGTTGTTTAATCTTTCAAGATATCTTTTTGTTAGATTTTTACTGTAATTATGCATGCTTGTAATCCCAGCACTAGGGAGGCTGAGGCAGAAGGACTGCTGTGACTTTGAATCCAGCCTGGGCCACATAGTGAGTTCAAAACCAGACTGAATTACACAGTGAGATCCTGTCTCAAAAAACCAATAAGAAAGAGAGAGGGGATGGGGGGAGGTAGTTTCTGCCTTTGCATACTTGGAGATTTTTGTTTTGTCTTTTGAGATAGCCTCTTGCTATGTAGTCCAGGCTGGCCTTGAACTCACAGTGATCCTCCTGCCTTAGCCTCCCTAGTGCTGGGCTTACAGGTGTGTGCCACCATGCCCAGTTTACTTGGAGAATTTAATCCATTTATTCATGTAATTGTTGGTAATGACTAGGCATAGGTCTACCATTTTGCTATTTGTGTTGGTACACTCTATCACTGAGCTACATCCTCAGCCTCTTTTTTATTTTTTTATTTTGAGACAGAATCTTGCTAAATTTCCCAAGTTGGCCTCAAACTTGGAATCCTTCTACCTTAGCCTCCTGAAGTAGCCAGGATTATAGGCATGCATCACCGCACCTGGTTTCCTCTACTGGCTTGCTATTTATTTTTTTATTTATATGGGGTTGGGATTGAACCTAGGGCCTCGCACATGCTGGGCATGCATTCTACCACTGAGCTACACCTCCAGCCCTCTACTGGCTTTTAAAATATAAAGTTCATTTAGTGGTCACTCTAGAAGTTTACAACATACATCCTTAATTTATAACCTGCTTCAAGTTAATATGCCACTTCACATTAAATATAAGAAACTTACACCTGTATAACTCCATCTGCAAACATGTTATTGGTATCATATCATTTTCGTGAATATAAGGCCAACCATACATTATCATAAATCTTGTTTTAAATAATCATTGTCTTATTTTTGAGACAGTGTTTTGCTATGTAGTTCAGGCTGGCCTCGAACTCACAGTGATCCTCCTGCCTCAGCCTCCTGCATGCTGTGATTACAGGTGTGCAGCACCATGCCTGTCAGTAATCATTGTCTTTTGAAGAAAGTAGGAGACGGAAAAAGACAGCATTTTTTGTTGACTTATATTTTTATCACTTCTTGTATGCTTCATTTTTTTTTTTTCTGTCAATTTAAGTTTCTCTTTGGTGCAATTTCCCTTCATCCTGTAGAATTTCTTGTAGCAATTCTTTTAGTGCAGGTATTGTAGCAGTTCTTTTGGTGAAGAATTATCCCAGCTGTCTTTATCTGAGCATGTCTTGATTTTTCTCTTGGATTTGAATATATTTATTGCATATAGATTTTTTCCCTATATATATATTTTGTTCCATTGCTTCTGATGTATTTTCTTTTTTCTGATGTAAAGTCGAGCATATGTGATATTTCCTTATTTCTCTATTTTCAAGATTTTCTCTTAATCTTAGGTTTTCAAAAGTTTGACTATTGTTTTGTACTGACCAATGTTTTGTTTGTGTTTTGAAACACGGTCTTGCCTCATTGCCCAGGCTGGCCTCAAACTCCTGGGCTCAAGTGATCCTCCTGCTTCGTTCAGCCTCTAGAATAGCTAGACCTACAGATGTACAGCACTCTCCCTGGCTTGCCTGTGCACTCTTTATTCTTATGCTGCTTGGGATTTTCTGAGATTCTTGGATTTGTAAGTTTACGTTTTTCACCAAGTTCATAAAATTTTAGGTCATTATTTCTCTAAATATTTTTCCTGCTCCATCTTGCTCTTCTCTCTTTTTGAAACCCCATGATTTTAAATATTTTAAGTGTTTAGCTCCCAGTCCCTGAGGCTATGCATTTTGTGTTTGTTGTTTTTAATCTTTTTCTCTCTATTCTTTTGATTGGAGAACTTATTTTTAACTTGTCATCAGGTTCATTACCCTTTATTCTGCTATCTCCAACCTGTTCTTAAAAACAAAGTCCATCCTTGTCAGTTATGGTCCCACACAGCTATAATCCCAGCTGCTTGGGAAGCTGAGGCAGGAGAATTGCAAGTTCAAGGCCAGCCTGGGAAGGTTAGTGAAAATCTGCCAAAAAAAAAAAAAAAAAACATCCAGTTAAATTTTCATGTTATCATGCTTTCCCATTCTAGAATTTTTATTTGGTTTTCTTTCATTGTGTCCATTTCTCTGCTGAAATTCCCTCTGTTCATTAATTATCACCATTTTTATCCTTTGAGGATTTACACGTATTTATAATAGTTGTATTAAATTTTCATTTCCAATATCTGAGTCATTTTGAGGCTGGTTTCTATTAACTACTTGCTCTCTTAGCTGGGAGTCACATTTTGACATTGTTTTGCATGTCTAATAATTTCTTATTGTATTCTGGACATTGCAAATGGCATTTTATAGAGATTCTCGATAACACCACTGTCTTTTGAAGAGTATTGATTTATGTTCTAGCAGGCCTTCCACTTTGAACTTTTGGAGGACTGTTTTTACATTTAGAATGGATTGGTCACATTTTTGCCTTTAGACCTAAAGCTAATCCTTTAGTCCCAGAATGTAATTTTTTCTCTTAAGGAATGGACTTTCTTTGGTTTCAGTTACTGAATTCTCACTAGTTTCCAACTACTTTGGGTTGATTTTTTTTCTTTTTTTGTGTGTATGTGGTGCTGGGGACTTCACTCAGGGCCTTACATGTGCTAGGCAAGTGCTCTACCTCTGAGCTACATTGACAGCCCTTGATTGATCTTCAGTACCTTCAAGTATTTTTCTTTCCTATTTTATCTAGGGTTGATGGTTGTTATCTGTAAAAAAGTTAGCCCTCTATGTGCCACTCAGTCATTACCCAAGGCCGGCACCTCAGTACATTTGTTTTATAAGAACTAGTGCAGCTGTGCCTGCCTTTGTAGTTGGGATACATTGTATGCCGGGCAAAATGTTTATAGAGGGTCTGGTTTCCTGCTTATCTCATACATATTGTAGGTGACACTGACATATTAGAACATATTAGAGGTAAGATGACATATTAGAGATAAGATGAAGGAAGTGGGATCACATATAAGCCACAGTCAACTTTCCACAGATGCAAACCATGTTCAGAGCACATATCCTTGAATCTTACACAGGAGGGCACCATAGAGATTTTGAAATAGAAAGCATAACATGAAGACTTCATGCCACACTTGACAGCCATATGTTGAGCACCTACTTATGTGCCAGGAGCTGAGCTGGAGACAAAGACTTGAAAGAAGACCCTTTTGGACAAGATGGAATGATACCCGTTAGGATAACAGAGAACTGGCATTACATGGGAGCCCTGCACAGTGTCTCACCTTGCCAGATGTCACCAAAGACGTCTAGGAAGGAAGACTCTGTGTCTAATCTTAACCAGTGATGAGGAGTTAGCCAGGGCAGGAGGCAGAAGGCACAGCTTTGGGCTGAGGAAACAGCTCAGACAAAGGCATAAAGATCAGACAAGGCTAGGTGTGCACTGCAGGAGAAAGTCCAAGTCAGAGGAGCACTCCCTCTCACAGACTAGCTCCACGGTCCTTAAAGCAGACATTGGACAGGTAAGATGGGTACAGTGAGAGCTTGTCTGAGCTGGTGAAGGCAGGACTCATTCTTACCATTCTGGGCCTCCTGGTGCACTTTCCTGCCCTGACATGACTGGGCACTGGAGAGCTGACAGGTACAACACCTTTTGAGAGAATTAAGGCAGGAGATGGGAGACGCTGCTTTGCAAAGAATGGGCTGATGTGAACAACATACTCCATTGATACACTGCCTCCCCTCCCAAAGACTTTGAAAATCAAATACTCCCCAAGCTGTGGAAACCCAACCATTAGCTGATCGTTAGAACTTTATTATTATAATCACCCGGCCCAATTTCAGCTACCACAGCAGAACAATGAGCCATTGAAGCCTTCTGGAGGTCTTGCCTCCCATCCACCTTCACCCACAGGCAGGGACCTGCGGTGAGACCTGGGGTGGGGGTTAGGGGCCCATGTCCTGGCTTTACCAATGTACCCCCATGGGAGCTCCTGGGGGGTCCGGGTGACAGTCTTCTCATTCATCAAGTGGGGGGACTGAAGAAAATACATCCGGACATCACTTTGCTCCCCTGACATTCTGTCCCATATCTTGACCCTTGTAGGTCAAGAGCTAATTATATCTGCTTCAGGGAAATCTACGGATGTGAAAGTTCTATAAAGATGCTAGAGACACATGTATACCATACTAATATGATTACAAGGAAGCCTGTGAGGTTTTCCTGTCTCGTGCTGAGGTGTTCTCACATGTGTGCCCATGCCTGGCACAGTGCCAGTCTTGCTGGGTCAGTGTGGTCAATGGTATAGGCAAAAAGCTGTCTTCAGCTAGCTCCCAACCCCCAGCTACTATGTAACAAGGTCATACTGTGCCTTGTTTATGGGTCCACTTTGTTCCCAAACATTTGGTGTTATTTGATCATTGGTTACAAGTCCAAAAGATCTGATTTTATTAGGAGAAAAACAGTTTAATTTTATGGAACTATAAGGCTTGATCATTGTCCCATGAAACCCTAGAGGCTAGACCTTACCAGGCTTGAGCTGGATCTGTCTTGCCTATCACTTCTGCTTCGCTGCTGGCTTTGAATTTCCTCCTGGGTAAGAGGTCACAGCAGGCCCAGCTGAGGGCCTAGTGCTTTCCAAGCTTGCTCAGGTTCATCAGGGCTGGATTTTTCACCTCTGTGGGTGCCCAGAATCCTGCCATATCCCTAGTGAGAGACAGCTCCAAACACAGAAGGCACTTGGGAGGGAGTCTTCTTGCTGCCCACTGGGAAGGGCTTTTGTGCCTCTTGGATGGCTCTGGGAAGGCTGCTGGGACCCCAGCTTGGGTTTCGGGATTAGGGTAACCTGAGTACCATAAACTACATCAGGGCTGGGATTAGGCAGGCTCAGGTTTAATATGCTTTGCTGGGCCCCATGGGGACATGGAGGGCTCCTCACTGCCCTCACAGCCACAGGTGTTTGGCTGAAAACCAGGATGTGCAGGGCTCTTGGAACCCTTGGGTGGCAGGAGCAGAAACCCGAGAGTTCTTAGGGAGCTAGGCTGGTCAGCAAAGGCAAGGCCCTGGCAGGTTGAGGCTATACAGGGTGGATCTGTAGGGAAGCACAACGGCCTGCAGCTGCCAGGCCCAGTCCCTAAGCCTGGAAGCCAATGCCCTGGCTGGTCCACCATCAATGTCACAGAGATCAAGAAGTAACAACTGTGAAATGGAGCCAAAGTTCCATCTCTTTTAGCTTCCAGGGCTATTCCCAACCCAGACAGCAGCAAGGTCAGACAGTCAATGGACCACATATGAGAGGCCATGGTGGGCATGGGTGTGACATGACTTGACATTGTGCACAGACAGATGTAGGAGCCTAAGTCCTTAGCTCCTGGTGAGTAGAGGAAGGTACACTTTTAGCTGCTTTTGTTCCCTGAGGACCTGCGGTGCCAGTCCCATGGGATGCTGGCCCTGTGGAAGCCTGTATTTGCTATGTGTCCTCAGCCCCTGGAGAACTTTCACCTATCACAGTGGATTCTGGAATCTGGATGATGACCCTAGCCATGAGTGTAGGGCTTGGAGATGGGTCTATAGCCTGACGCTTAGGGGCTGCTGCAAATAGGGCTCAAGGAATGCCCAGCTGTGATAACATGAGGTCTCAGGCCTCCAGCCCTTGGCATTCCTAGACCATCACTGTGCTGTCTCTTCCAACTCTGAGTAACAGTTTCTTGGCAGATCTCTGTTGAAGAATATGCTATCCAGTTATTACCCACACTGAACATTGTGGGTGGTGGTTGGCCAAGCCCTTGCCAGCCTGCTGCCTGCTATGGGCAGTTCCTTCCCCATTCCATCTGAAGGGGGTACCAGGCACTAGGCCCCCAGGGCGTGGCCCTATGGGAGCTGGGATGCCAGCCTGGGTTACAGGCAGGACAGAGCTGGTGTCTGTACAACACTGTAGGAGTCCCCACCCAACCTGGAAGAAGCCCAGCAGAAGAAGCCTCTGCCCAAGGCAGAGCCTGTGCCCATAGCCCTCCCTGCCTGCCTTCTGCTGGTCAGGCACAGTCAGGGCACCAGTGCATATCCCAGTTTATTTATTTATGCTCCCACCTGGGACAGGAAGGGAGCAGGGCAGCTCCAGGGCCATGCAGTGTTTAGCCAGACAGCCCGGATCTAACATGGCAGAAGAAGGAATATGGCCGGAGCATAAAATGCTACCATAGCAGGCCTGTCTGGCTCTGGACTTTTGCTGACACCAGCACCAGAGGGAACCCATTGGAGAGGAGAAGCCAAGGAGGTAGGAAAGACAGCTCAAAGGCAGCAGAGGCCCTTTCTCAGCCTTGGCTCTGCAGATAGGGGTCTTTTATGCTGAGGAGTCACTAGAGTGGCACAAGGCTGCTGCCTGAGGGTCCATGGAAACCTGTCAGCAGTCAGCCACATTCCCACACAAACAGAAGATGATATTAGGGGCCAAGGCCTTAGGCGGACAGGCAGTGGGGTTCCTGGCAGCATGGGGCTGAGGACTGGTAGGGCCCACACCTGCAGGTGGCTTCCTTTGGAGCTCCCCTTGTTTGAACAGTCCCTGGTGGTGGGATACCTGCTCTGGAGAGGTGGTTAGATCCCCTCCCAGGTTGGGTTGAGCTGAAGTACTATACTTGGCAGGAGGTGTACAGACTACAAGTTTGGGATCAGGAGAGAGCATTTTCCTCTGAGGCCGGGGGTCAGGGTGGGCCCCCAGGAGCCTGGTTCAGGTCCATCTGGATGGAGAATCAGTTCACAGATGCTTCTGAATGGGGCAAAGCCTGTGGAGCAACATGCTTTGGCTCTAGTGGGTCCCAGTGCCTGGGTCTGGGTGTCTACTGGGGCTGCATGGCTCATTCCTCAGTGTCCAGTGTCCCCCTGCTGGCCTCAGATACCAGCCACAGCTTTCTGCTTGCAGGGTGGAAGACTAACCCCCTCCCCATGTCTGACTGTGACCAGCCTTCAGTGTCCCTGCCATATTCCCTAAGCAGAACCAAGGGTGGGATGACCAGGAAGGACAGGGCAATCAGAGGCCTTGGGTAGGGGGTAGTAACTTCTACAAGGAAACAGGTGAGCCCAGGGAAGCATGAACAGCCCACCTGCCAGCCTAGCACAGACTCAAACACACCTCTCAACTGGTCAGAGTCCTGACAGGGGGTTTGAGCACCTAGAGTCTGAATGGCAGGAGGGTTTGGCAATGGGCCTTGCAGTCCCAGGTCTCTTGTGGTGGCATAGCCTCCTGGACAAGATCCCTTTTTGCCATCTCAGGGTGTTCCTTATGCAGGCCCTGCACTACCTGTGGCTTCAGATGGCTCTGTGCCCAGCTCATGAGTGGTAGTGGAGCCTCAGCCTGTCCCCAGGTCTGCTTCAGACAGGGGAGTGGACACTGGTATCTTGAGCTGCTGCCTGGGCACCGAGGCTGGAGTGGTAGCCTGATGAGGTGAGCCACATGTGCTAAGACACTGTGGGACAAGCAAACACCTGGAGCTCAGAGACAAGCTCAAACCTGAGATGAGGGTGTTCTGAGCTACAAGTACTACCTGACACTGAGCTGCTCCTCACAGGGGTGACACACTCATTTGCAAGGGCCCCTGGTGGGGGCACCAAGGCCCCTTCCACAGCCAGAAAAGAATAACCAGGACCATGCCCACTGAGCAAAGCTGGAGGCCAACAGGGCTATGGGATGCTCAGTGGTGAGGGCTGCAGTCTGAGCATCTCAGCTGTCATTGTGAGTTCACAACTTCCTGCTGTGCCCCTCCTCAGAGACCTCTCTGGGTCTGCCCTCCACCACTCATCCCTGGCCAGCCCTCACAACTGCCCGTCATCCTCCTCTGCATGTCTACCCCAGAGGTCACAGGATAGCATGGAGGGAGTCTAGATGGAGAGGGTATGGTGTTGTGGTATGTGAGGAGGTGACGGGTGACCCTGCCTCACTTCCTAGGTGAGGATAAGGGGGAGAGGGGGTAGCTTGGCCTAGAGGACAACCCTCCACCCCCTGCCAGCTCCTCTCCCTCCCATGTTCTTGCAAAATCCAGAGCCACAAGAAGTGTGCAAGACATTGCCAGGGGTAATTGAAGGTTACGTGGAACAATCTGAGGAATTAAAATCATATTTTCATTGCACCATAAAAACATGCAAAGGCGGCAAGGAGGTGGTCCTGGGACCAGGCAAGCACCTGGCACTCTGGCCCATCCTTAGGTGCCCTGGGAGGAACGGACAGGACAGAGGCAGGCTCAGAGAGGGGGTTGCCCATGCAGTGAGCCTGGAGCCAGGACAGAGCCATCACCTGCACAACACACTCATCCTGCTCCTGACCTGGCCTATACATACTGCCCTGCTGGGGTCCTCCCCTACCTGCCCTGGCTTCACAGCTGCCTGAGTGAGGGCTTTGGGCTCATGTCCCACCATAGCAGTGTGGTGCCTTCAGGGTCCCCCACCTATTCTTGGGCATGGGACCTCATAGCCAAACCAATGTGTGCTGCTCCAGCACCCAGCCCCAAAGGTAGCCCAGGTAATGGCAGTCCCTGGGGTCTTTCTGGTGGACCTTCCCCTGCAACACTTGGAACCCAAGGCTCTCTGGGACATGGGCTGTGGATGTTTGGACCCCTCCTGGATGTAGCACAGGACAGACAGCACAGAGAGAGCAGAAGTTACAGGGGGCAGGTACACTGATGTAAGATCTGTTCTAGGGAAAGAAGCGTGCAAGCAAACCACTTGGAGGGGCTGTGGGGACATGGATATGTGGGCGGCACTCTGGCTGCCAGTGGTGGTGGGGGCTCAGCCCAGAGGGCCGCCTGGTATGTATGGAGGCCCCACACAGGCTGCATCATTTCTATCATCACAAAAAGCACCAAGGCCATTTCCAGTTCCTTGTTTGCCCCAAGGCAGGGGCTGCTCCCAAGACTGAGGAATCTATGGGACCCCTATAGGTCTGGACCCCAGAGAGCCCCTGCTGGCCCCAGGCAGCAGGTGTTAGATGACCTCTTTGCCTCTAAGGCAGACCAAATGCTCAGGCTGGAGGCAAACCCTCCTCACAAGATCCTCGGCTGGGGCTGGCTGGGGTGTGCCACCAGCCGTGCGTTAAATGGGACACGGCTGATCTGGCTCTGCACTTGTCAGGAGGGCTGGGCCCAGCCCAGCACTTGGCATCTTAATTGGGCGTCTGAGAGCTCCCGCACACGCTTCACACCGCAAGCCAGGTTCCCATAGGCCCATTAGGGTGCAAACACATTCCTTTGTTCGCTGACAAGCAGGGTCCCATCCAGGGCTCCGGGGCCGGCAGACTAAGTGATGTTTTCTTAAGGAAGACATGGGATTAGCTGCAGCGAAAGCCTCAGCACAATGCCGGGCCTTGCCTGCTGCTGTCAGCTCTGTCTCTGTACAGTGACTGACAGGCGCTCCCTCAGCCCATCAAGCCTCAATATGCAGGATTAGCCTTAGTGCAGCCAAGGAGCTGACTTGGAGGACCACAATGGAAACAGTGAGGTGACTGACATTTGGGGACAGAAAGCTTCAAATGCTCCTGGCAGCTCCTATCCTCCCACCACCCCTTCCCTGCCAGCGCCTGCTGGGAGCTGGGGCACCCTTTTTGCTTCACGGTGCAGAGATCTCAGCAGTGATCTGCGCACAGGGTCCTGGGGCCCCCCAAGTAAGGTCTTCTGGCCTGAGGCCAGGCAGCTGTATGGGAAAGGGGATGGGGGGGGTCAGTTCATCCTGCTTGGGCTGGAAAGGGACAGGGCTTGCCCCTCCCACCCACCAGCAGGTCTTAGAAGCTGCTCTCATTTTACAAGAAGGCTTGCAGGCTGGTGAGGCCCTGCCCCACCTGGACAATCCTGAGGGTGCATTGGAAACACCATGAGCAAAACACATATTAGGAAAACACTCTCTTTATTTGCACTCCAGAAATGCCAGGGAATTCAGACATGGACAGCCCACAGGATGGGTTTCTGTCCAGGCCATCATCATCTGGTACTGGGGCCTGAGGGGGGTGGCCCAGGCAGAAGAGGGGAGAGGGTGCAGGCAAGGGGCTGACTGCCCCTGGAGCCATCCCTGCAGGGCACACAGGTCATCTGTGCAGTCACACCGCTCCATGCAACATCTCCCAGGCTCTCCAGGAAGAAGAGGCACAGGTTCATCAGACCTGGCCTTCCGGTCCTGCCACAATGCATGGAGTCAACACAGGTTCCCCCACACATTGCCTGGACACACAGGGGACCCTCAAGGGATAGATTAGAGCCAAGCCCCTGAGACAGTAGTCCTACCTTTGCCCCCAGAGCAACGTATTCACAGGGAGCACTGAAGTGTTCCAAAAATATTTTGAAATAATAAAAAAAATTATAGCAGTTTCTTAACAAAACAACTCTATAATAAAATATTCTGGGTCTGGAGATTTAGCTCAGCAGTTCCATCGCCTGCCTCGCAAGCACAAGGTCCCAAGTTTGATCCCCAGTACCATAAATAAATAAATAAATAAAATATTCTGATAAGAGTTCCCTCACGATGCCTTTCATTTGCCTGTATCAAAGTCAGTCCTGGGTCTGAAGTCAAATGCCAGAACACCTGGGTGAGGACCCGGCCCAGATCTGCTGCAGGCAGTCACTTCTTGGGCTCCCAGGCCTGCCTGAGGGAATCTCAACGGGGAACTTACTGCTCTGCCCACAGCCTCCATCTCCAGAAGAGAGGAAGCTCAAAGCACCCCAACCCCAGAAAGGGTTGACAGCTATGAGGGACATTCAAGGGTGGGCTACACTGTACAGGCCTGAAGAGGCTGTGTCTGCCTGAGAGGGGACAGGGCTCTGGCCACATGCCATGCCTTTGGAAGGAGCCAGGGAGCTACTCGCTATTTCTTATTCCACAGAAGAGGACTGCCAACGAACATAGTGGAAACTCCTGGCCGCCTGCTCTGCCAGTGGCTTTGCAAAGCTGTAGCAGAAGCAGATGTGCAGGGTGGCGGCTGAACATGTACAAGGCAGTGTCTCCACCTTCTGGGCGAGAGGGAAATAAGTCAGTACTGGCATTCTGCAAGGACAGGAAGGTGAGGCCTGCTTTCTATCTGCAGGCCCCAGGGAGCACTAAGCTGAGACTGCCCAGGGAAGGCTGTGGATGCGATCCCAATCTTGATACTACTTGCCCCCGGAGAGCAGCAATAGCCAGGCAGGGATCTTGGGGTGCCCTTTAGAGGGCAGGACCCTTGGTGGGCTCCCCTCCTAGCCCAGCTTCTCAGCCTAAGGACAGATAGCGCTCACCTGCTCAAGGTACCATGGTAGGTGTAGCCTCACCAGGTACCTTCACAGTAACACCCCCAACCCCAGCCAGCCACGTGCTCCACACTCAAACTTGTGTACCTGGATCTGGGCCTCTGAAGGCTGGCAGTGGGGGCGGCATACTGTGTACCCTTAGTCTTGCAGGGATGGCAGCTTAACCTCAGCAGCCGGTCACGGTGGGGTCCAGGCCTGAGCGCTTGGAGATGCGCAGCTTGACCACCTCCTCGGCACAGGTGGGGTGGATACCTACCGTCCGCATCACCTGTGCATAGGAAGCCCCACACCTACACCCAGGGGATGGGAGAGATAGGAAAGGAGTCAGCATATCACTGGGACCCTGGGAAGGCCTTAGAAGGCATACCGCCTCCTTACTGCCTCCATGCCTTTTTCTCTAGCCTGTTACTCCTGTCCACCTCCCTCTCAGCAAATGCCCAGTGCCGACAGGGCCCCACCTCCCATTTAACCTTCCTTGATTGCTCTGGCCTAGCTTCCTGACACTCTAACCCTACCAGACACAGACCCACTGGTCCTTCCTCAAGCCTGGCTCCTCACTCCCTCAGGGTGTGGCTCAAATCACCTGCCCCAGTGAGCCAGAGCCCACTTCTTACTACTGCAGTCTGCACCTGGCTTGCCTCCCACCCCGCCCAGCTCTTCTGCTCAGACCTTGCCCACTTGGAAGCCTGACACCATGCTCAGAGCACCTGCTGCAGGAGGCAGGGAGCCTCCTGCTCTGTGGGTGGCTGTGCCCTAAGCCCTGTTTATTTTTATTTCCTGTGAATTACCCATTCATGTTCGGTGTTTTTTCTTTTAGGCTGTTCACTCTATAATTATTATTATTGATTCTTAAGAGTTTTTGCATATTAAGGAAATAAACCCTTTGCAATTACATTATTAAAAGAGGCTGCCACAATTTCAAGGATTTTCTAGAAATTATTCCAGAAACTAAGTGTTGGTCTGGACAATACCATCTGCATGCCAGTCCACATAGATTGCCATAGTTTAGTGGGAGAGGGTCAGGGCTGTCCTTGTCCCCTGCCAGCCCCAGAAATCTTCCTGCCTGCAGTCAGAAACTGGTGCTATGGATGGCCCAGCCCACCACTACTTACACAGGGCCCCTGGGTCAGGCTCCCAAGGTCACTCACAGCCTCTTATCTATGCCCACAGTAGACCCATCCCCACAAGTTCCAGCAAGACTCTAGGCAGAGACTACAGTGGGCTTATAGGGTTCCACTCAGTGGTCACTCTGGACTGAACTTTCAAATAACAGCCTTGTTGCCACAGATAGCTCTGCAGCTTAGGAACCACAGACACGTGTCTGGGACACAAACCCACCCTGCACCCAGCCTTGCCCGTTAACCTCTGAGGCCCATCTCCTGGAAAAATCTGATCCCCACAACCCAGCTATTGCCCCAGCACATGTATGCAGGGCTAGGTGGGGCTGAGGTTTGCTGTCCCATGATACAGGTGGCCCCATCCATGGTCCTGTGCTGCCCAGTGGGGAAGACTGGGTTCCCCAGGGCAACTGGCCCAGGCCCTCCATCTTTCCTACAGAGAGCCCCTCATCATACAGGTCCTGCTCCTCTCCCCTGGCTCCCTCCCTTCCCTTCCCTGGCCCCAGACCCCTAACCCCCAAGATAGTTCTTGGTCATACTCATATGCCCCAGCACACAGGGGACTCCAGCTGTGTACATGCCTCCTCTTCAGGTTAGCCCCTCCTGGTTCCCTCTCTGCTTTGTCTGCAGCTTGTCCCTGCATGGCCCTTCTGCCTCTGATGTGCTAGGCCCAGTCTCCTTTCTGAGATGCCATGCATGACCTCCCAGCCTCCAACTCCCCAGACAACCTACCCTACCCAGAGCCATGTCATGGTCCCTGTAGGCCTTTGGATCCCAGAAACACACAGCCTAGGGGACTAGGGTGTGGCTCAGCAGTATAGCACTGACCTAGCATGCAGGAGGCCTTGCATTACATCCCCAGTACTGCAAACAGACAAACCCCACACAATAGCCCAGGCAAGGACCCAGGCTCAAATTCCAAAAAATGCTCAGTGGCCCTGAATAGCTCTTTCCCCACACATTTGAGGCTGAGAACTTGCTCACAACAGCCCTTGTGAGCGAGGATTCAAGCCTGCTCATTCTGACCATGTTGAAGAGATCCAAACAGTGATCCAGGGCCACAGTGATCCCCCAGAAGGCAACCACAGAGCAGGGTGCATGGCTCTGGCTTGAGCACATGCAGCTGGAGAAGAAAGCTTCCTCCTTCACATTGAACCTCCCTCACTGAGGAGATCCTGATGAATCCCTCCGGCAAACATGCACAAGGCCATGGGAAAACAACATAACACCCAGTGGACTTCTGCTGTAGTGTTGATGGCCCTTGGAGGGACACCAGCTGAACGTCGAAGAACAGCCCACATTCCTCCAGACTTACTTGATCCCCAGAGTGAATCCTTGAGTAACTTCGCCGGCGTTGGGGCCGAGGAAATGCAGGCCCAGCACCAGCTGTGGAGGCTCCCTCAGGCACACCATCTGAAAGCCACAGAGTCTCAGCCACAGCCCAGCCTCAGGGGACCCAGCTGTGACCCACCTCTGTGGCCTTGGCCTGTGGGTGTGAGTGGCCCTGGATATTCACGATGCTCTGCTCTAGGACAGCATAGAAACCCTGGCCGCTGGCTCTTTCCCTCTTCCCTTTCACCCCGGCACCCCTGGGGCTCCAGGGAACTTACCTTTATGTAACACTGGGATGCATCCCGTTCGGCCACTGTGAACTCCAGGGGTTTATAATATGCATGATAAACCTGGTTGATAAAACACCAATTCCTAGAATGATGACCACAGCCAAACAAGTCCTGTGGGCATTTTACAGATCTAACAGAAATGGTACAGGGAAGCTGGGGCTTCTCAAGGACCTAGAACCACCTGCTTGGCCAGAATGTATTGTCTGAGGTGAGGGCACCGCTCAGCCACTGCAGAGAGTCCCCCCCTCTCCCATGTACAGGCAGCCAGTATCTTGAGCCACAGGGTCTGCAGGATAGTCCTTCTCCTGCCCAGGCTTTAGAACCCTGTGAACTCCAGCAAGAGAGCAGATACCAGGCTCCCCATGTGCTAACTGCCATAATGTGTCACAGGGCCTAAGGCTTGGGCCAGGGTAATGCAGCACCCCCTGAGGGGCATATGTGGGGTAGACACAGGCCCTGTGACCACTGCAGGCTGGACAGGATGATCACAGGCTGTGATTTGTGCGGGGGTGGCCCAGCCCACCCATGTGGACAAGAATGGGCTGGGGGCAGCTTCTTGGCCTCCCTTGGGCACCTCAGCATTGGCTGGGCCCTACCTTCAGGGAAGAGGAGGTGGGGGCTGGTGCAGGGTGACCAAGGGGCAAGGCAGGCTCTGGCCACACTGGAGCTGTTGGACAGGTTTTCAGCACCCATAGAGGGCTCGACAGCATTTGGGGCTGTGGCGGGGTAAAAAATGAGTATGGCCCTCACATGTGCTGTACAGCCATTATTAATTAATAGAGCTTCAGAGAATATTGTTCTAAGCAAGACAGAGCTGAAAAGAAAACAAACAAAGGGTATTTGGCCATTCAACATTGTGAAACAAAAAAACAACATTATAACTGCCATGAACATATGTCCCAGGGTACTTACGATGAATCAAACAAAAATAGCAAATAAAGTGCTACAGGGAAGGGCAGCCTGTCAGGCCTGTCCCAGTGATGGAAGGGGTTGAGGTACAGGGGCAGGGGCAGGCCTTGGAGCCCAGTGACTCATTCCCAAAGGGCACAGGCTCCCCTGCCCAGGCTACATGGAGTCTGGTTTCCCCCCACCACCTGCAAGCTGCTACAGCAGGAAGATGAAGTCATATCAAAGGCTTCCAGCATCCACAGCATGGCAGGTTTTAAAGCCTCCAGGCTTCCCTTCAGGCCACCTGAGTATGTTCTATTACCACTCTGAGGGTGATGGCCTGCCTGCCTGGGGCCAACCCCCCGAAAAGAGACCTTGCCCAATAAAAACCCCCCTCCTTAAGGTAAATGCCATTGGTGCCTACAAGGACTGGAGGAATTTGGAAAGAAGACTGGAGCTTAGATTGGGACAGAGTGTGAGCTGTGCCTGCTAGAGCCCCCAGGGGAGTCCCAGAAAGGCAGAGGTTCAGGTAGGAGGGGGTGGGCCAGTAGGGATAGGAGGTGGGGGGTGGCAAGCAGAAGTCAGAGGACACGCAGGGAAGCCATTCCAGGTTGACAGAGACACATGCCCCTGTGAGGTGGGAAGAGCCATAGTGGCATCCTGGGAACTTCTGTGATGAGCACTCTGCAGGTGGAGTGGGCTGGTGTTTGCATGCTGGAGGATGCTAGCAGGGAAGTGACAGTTCCGTGGTGGGGACCCTGATGGTACTGGGCACTCACTCCTATAGCATAACTGGGAATGGGAATGGAGCTGCTAGACCATGGAGCCTCAGAATGAGGTGGCCAGGGACCTTCCTTATTCATGACATGGGGCAGCAGGCAGGCAGCCACTGAGGCTAGAGGAGCCAAGTTTTGGCCACACACCAAAGCTGCCAAAGGCCTCTGCCTCCCTCGTTTCTGGAACTGCCCTCCAGTGCACCTGTCCTGTATGTCCCTTCCTACTGCACCCAGGCCATCATTCTGGGCCTGCCAAGCTGCAGCACCTGGGGAAGCAGGGACACAGATAGCCCTGCTCATAGGACCTCCATTCAGGGAGGGGCCATCCATGGGCTACGTAGATCTTTTGACCCTACCTCAACATGCTCCTGTCCGTGGCGGGCCACGGCTTCTTCTTCTGATAGCCCCACACAGCCATACTCCAGCGGAGTGAATACAGTCGTGGGAACCTGGAAACAGGCCCAGGATAAGAAATGCCTCTCAGGACCCCCAAATTAGAAAAGTCCCTGTTGTAGGACACAAAAGGCAGTGGTCATAGGCCAGGGCCCAGCCATGCTGTTCCTGGACTGGACTCTGAAAGCCAAATCATTCACACCTGCTCACACCCATGCACATGCACACACCTGCAGGCATAATGCACACATGTGCACAAAACACTCACCTACATACACCCACACACATGCATACACACATACCCAGGCAAACATGGACACACAGGTATGCACACATACCCTCCCCCCAAGAACAACTAGCCTCGGTCTCTTCCTGGAGATACGTGGGGTCCTTTAAGAGAACTCACGTGGTTATAATCCATCAGGTCTGAGGACTGCCCAAAGAGCCGCTGGGCCAGAAGCCTCCCTGCCATGATGGCTGTGGGTGTCAGCTCAGGTCGCCCCTGATGGAAGGAAGTCAGGGTTACCTTAGCATACATCCAAAAGAGCCAGTACAACCTCTCAGCATTCATTACCTTCCATCCAAAACACTATGCAGAGCTGTGGTGAGCAGAAAACTTTCCCCATTCAAGTCTAATTCTTCCACACTGAGAGGTACAGCATCCTTGGCTCCCCCCCCCCACCCCCGACCAACCCTGCTCTGGGGAGATGCCTGTAGTTCTGACTCCCTTTCCTGAAAGACAAAATGAGCTGCCAATGACTGGAACCATGTCACCCTCACTCAATCAAGGCTTCTCTCTCAACCCTTTTCTTCTGTTGATGAACTCAGAGGGCTGTCACCAATATAATCAGATGAGATCCTTGCTACCATTCCCATTCACTGGGGTTCTGCCTAAAACAGGTCCAAGCATTCCATGTGCTCCTGACACAGCTTGAAGTGCATGTTATAGCCCATGACAAATCCCAAATCACAGTGTTATTCTGTGGGAGACCCCTCTATCCCAGCATGCACCCTGTCTCAAGTGTTCCTGCACACATCGGCCTGGGACCAGCTGCCAATCACCTCTGCAACAGGAAATCCACATGCTGTTTGGCATTCCAGAAATGAACAGAGATCTGCAGAGATAATTTGGGGAAGCAATATGCACATTCCACCAGGCCTGACTAACTGCGGAAACCACCATGTACGCAGCACACAATATCTCATTAAACAATGGCCCCCTAACCCCCCCACCCTGAGGTCTTCCCAGGCCCTAGCCTGACAATGGTGTGTTAACTCTGCACTGCTCAGAATGACTTTTCTAACTGTGTGGATTTCATTTTTTGTTTTTTGAAATACAGAATGCCTTTGGTGTGCCAGATATTTCTGGCACCTTACCCACATGGAGGTGCCTCTTCTAGGTGTCACAGTGTCCCTAGTTCCTAGAAAGTGCTGGTCCCCAGTAGGTGTTTAAGCAACATCTGCTGGGTGAATGGACATTACCACAATGGGGTGGGCTGAACAGTGGCCTCCCAAAATTCATGTCCACCTGGAATCTCAGAAAGTGGCTTACTGAAAATATGGTTTTTGCAGATATAATTAAGGTTGTAGTGGATTAGGGTGGACCCTAAATCTGATGAAAGACAATGTGTCAGAGACAAATAAGGGCACAAAGACATGCAGGGGAGACAGTCATGTTCTAACAGGACAGAGATGGGTGATATAGCTAGGATCTGAGGAATGTCTGGGGCCACCAAAGCTAGAGGAAGCCGGGTGTGGTGGTGCACGCCTGTAATCCCAGCACTCAGGAGGCTGAGACAAGAGGATTGCCAGGAGTTTGAGGTCAGCCTGGAATACACGGTGAGTTCAAGGCCTGCCTGCACTACAAAGTGAGACTCTGCCTCAAATAAAAGCTAGAGGAGCCAGGAAGGAGGTTCCCACAGAGGAGCCTGAAGGACAGCTCTGCCCACATCCTGAGTTCAGATTTCTTGCCCTCATAAAGTGAGAGAATAAGCTTCTGTGGTCCTAAGTTTGTTGTCATTTGTCAGGACATAAACACACGTGGATCACATGAGCAGGTCTCACCGCAAAAAGACAACAGAGTTTGAGGACGGGGGACCACTTCAGGGCTTATTTGGCAAGGCCCCCTGAGTCACCTTCCCCAGGACATGCGAGAAACATGCAGGACAGGCAACCTGTTCCTGAGGTTGTGGGAACTGCTCAGGTCTCTTGCTAGGGGCCCATGAAGGACAGGATGATGGCTGGATGCCTCCCAAGCAGGGGAGAGTATTCAGGAGCATCCACTAAGGCCTCACTTGGGGGTGCAGCAGTCCCCACTGTCCAGGGGAGGAAGAACAACAGGAGACAGCTGCAGCCGCAGGCCTGGAGGCTGGGAGTAGGCTGCAGAGCCTTTGTGCCATCCCCATCCAAGAAAGATAGGCACAAGTCCCCATTCCACAGCACCACAAAGAGCAGAGACTCTGCCCCGTGTGCAGCCTCATCAGAGAAGGAGCTGAACCTGCCTGTAGCTCATAGGGTAAACTGAGGTGAGGAGGGCAGCATAGGGGATGGGAGACTGTTTTCTCCCCCGTGGGGATAGGATGGCCCCATTTGTAAGATTCAGCTAATTATACTTACAGCTATTTTTGTCATCTTTTGTTTTTTTGAGACAGGGTCTTGCTAGGCAGTTTAGGCTGCCCTTGAACTTGCTACGTAGCCCAGTGAGGCAATCTTCCTGGTTCTGCCTCCCACATGCTGGTATTATAAGCATGCACCACCATGTTTGGAGCTTACAACCATTTTTAAAGCTGTTCCATACCAACCCTCTACAGAAAGGAAAGGCATTTGAAAGAGCCTTGTGTTGCCCAATCCTTTCTGGAATGTACCCTACCAGCCCTTGGGGTCCAGCTCAGCGCCTCTGTGTTTGGAGAAAGAAGAATCTCTACAGGACAGCAGCTACCAGGGCATGTGCTCCCCAAGGCCTGGTTGGGACAGGTGGGTGGTGGACCGGGCTGAGCAGTCCTGGCCACCAGGTTTGGCCAGGCAGGTGTCAGCTGTACCTCAGCAACATCTCCAATAGCGTAGATGTGGGGGACAGAAGTGGCTTCCTGGGAATCCACGAAAATCTTCTGATTCTGGGAGTTGGTATTCACTCCTGCCTTCTCTAGGTTCAGACTTCTGGTTTCTGGGACTCGACCTGAAGGAAAGACAAAGATGGTTGAAAGTTTCTTCAGTGGTTTTGACCTACATTCCTTTCATTTAACACTCTGCTCTCACCAACTGAGTTAATGGGCCAGCCAATGGCCTGTTTCACTTAAAACATTTGAAGCTTATTTAAATCATTTCAACCTGGGCATGGTGGCACATGCCTGTAATCCCAGCACTCAGGGAGACTGAGGCAGGAAGATGGCAAGTTCAAGCCCATCCTGGGCAACTCAGTGAGCCCCAGTCTCAAAATTAAAAAAAAAATAAAAAATTAAAAGGGCTGAGGATGTAGCTCAGTGTGAAGGCCCTGGGTTTAATCCCTAGTATGGAAAAATAAAGTATATTGGATCCATAGGTACTGGCATATGCCTGTAGGTCCAGCTACTCAAGAAGCTGAGGCAGGGGGATCACTTGAGAGCCCTGGTGTTCAAGGCCAGCTTGGCCAACATAGGGAGACCTCAACTCAAGAAAACAAGATTAAAATATTTCTCAGAGTGGCCACTTAGAAGGAGTCAAAGGTGAAGCTCAGATGGTGTCGCAGGCTCCTGGCCTCTGCAGGTAGCACTCTTGCCATGGAGAAGGGATGGCGAGTATCTGGAATGAACATTTACCAAGTGACACTGATGCTTACAGTAGGATGGCACTCACTGAAGAAGAAATACTTCCCAGGCACTACTTTCTGGCACATAGGGAAGGAGTAGGTGCTTGCCAACATAGCTGCGGCCCAACACCAGAGGACTGGGCACAAGACTCTAGAACCCTCTGTGGGCCGGGGCCCAGCCACATCAGCACCAGCATTTGGCTCTGGTACTGATGTCATCCAGGGAGACCTGCCTTTCTGTGGAGCATAGAGTGCTGCTACTGGCACCTGGTGCTCTGTCTGTCCTCACTGTGCCCCTCACACCACAGCACAACACCATCACGCAATAAGCACCACAGACCCAGGCCTCCTCTGAGGGACATCTACTGGCTCCTGATGGCCTCCTCCCCATCTGGACAGGCTGAGGCAGGGTCAGCCATGCCTCAGGCTGCACCCAAGCTGATGCTGGTCCCGGGGTCTGACTCCACACCCAAATGGGTTCTGTGGGTCTCTGTCCACTGAGGGTGCAGGCAGGATCTCATGGACCCAGGCAGCAGGGACAGCAGTGGCCACCATCTGAGGGCCTGGTCCAGCTAACTGGATAAGATTGACCACAGGCATCTGTGGTCATGTGTCCCTCCTGTTGTATGCCCTCTGTCCACTCTTGCAGGCCCTCCACCACAGATGACACCTACTCTTTTATTCCTGTGGTTTTAATGTGAGGAAGTTGCCCATTATTTTTTTTTTTCTGACAGTGCAGAGGAGGGCTGGTCCCCAGAGCCTCAGATGGGCCAACTCAGGCTCTACAGGTGACACCAATGGACTCATCATCAATCAAGTGAGATGCTACAGAGCTGCCTCTCTGCCAGGTAGGGTGAGGCTCTGGGAAACTCATGAGCCAGCCTGGGCAACCGTGGCTGGCCACAGTCACTCTCCTCAGTGCTGGGCCCGGGTCACCCATGCCTGTCCACTTGGTTTCTTCCCTCCCTGCCAGGCGTCCTCGAGCTCTAGCCCGCACCCATGCTGTGGGCCCTAAACATGAACAGTGTTTCCTGGCCTTGGGCTCTGAGCCCTGCTAGACTCTCAGCTTGGTCCAGTTGCTGCTTTGGGACTGCTGTGTGCCCCAGAGCCAACATCACCTGCCATCCATGCACAAGAGACCCTAGACAGCCCTCCTTTCTCTGTGAACTGTGGTGTCCTCATCTATAAAAGGGGCCAATGTGGGACCCAGACAAGACAAGGTGTCAGTGTCCCAGGGAGACTCCTTGCACCTGTCTCACAGGCCATAGGGCCCTGAAGGACACAAGCCCACAGCAAAGCCTACTCCTCTGCCTGAACTTCAGCATGGAGAAGCCCTGTCCTGACTTGAGGAAGCTCTGGGGTGGAGCAGGACAGGCAAGCAGACAATGTGTGGAGCATACTGCCCTCCTCTGAGGATAAGGAAATGTACATGAGCACACACACACATCCACAAAAGGAATCAGTGAAAAGATAAAACTGGTGTCCTACAGAAAAAGAAAGAATAGGATACAAGGACAGAGGTACATACAAGACTGGTCAAACGAATCTTGTGACTTCTTTTGTTTCCTATACATGGTTTATATATTCAAAAAATAAAATTAGATTAACATAGGAAACAATTCCTAGAAATGTAAACAGCCTAGAACAAGTGAACCTACCTGCATATGAGGTTGATGACAGACCACACAAAAAGATCCGTATAGTCCTCCCTTAGCATCCTCAGCAGAGTGCTTCCAGGACCGCTCTGTCCTGCCAGGACATCAAAGTCCACAGATGCTCAAGTGCCTTATACAAAATGGCAGAGTATTTGCATATAACCTAGTAACATCTCTTAATAAACTTTAAATCATATCTAAATTACTTATAATACATAATACAATGCCAATGCTAGCTAAGTTATTGCACTGTATTGTTTAAGGAATAATGACAAGAAAAGCCTGTATATGTTCAGTACAGTGAAATTTTAAAAAATATTTTTCATCTGTGGTTGCTTGAACCCATGGATGTGGAACACTTAGAGATGAGGGCTGACTGCCATCAAAGAAACTGGAAAAGTTATGATTTCATAGGGCATCCTCAGAAGATTATATCCTAATAACAACAGAAGCCGCAAAAAGGTCTGTCTAACTCCGAAGGACCAGCGATGTATCTCAGCAGTAGAGTGCTTGCCTAGCACACATGAGAACCTGGGTTCAAATTCCAGCATTGAAAAAACAAAAATCCTGTAATGTCAAATTTGAGCTGGAAATTATCTTTTCTAAAATATTAAGTTCTGGGCTCTGACTGTGGGGAGGTCTAGCAGCAAAAATGACCTAGTGACCCAAGCCCCTGACTAGGATCTCTAAATGCCTCCCACCACAGGGACAAGGCTCTACATGGCCTACAGGGCTGACCCATGGAACAGAGTGTGATCAAAGACAGCATGACAAGGAGAGCCGTGCAGCACTGAAAGGCAGCATGCCAGAGGGAAGACACTCATTACTCAGCACCCATCAAACAGGTGCTCACAGGAGCAGTGGCTCTGTCACAGCAGCATTCAAGCCTTTGACAGGACACACATTCTGGGGGATGGGATCTACACAGAGCCCTAGGAAAGCTGACTGCTCACACTCCCCTCATGGCCCTTCCTGGATGGGGTTCCCTTCCTCTACTCTCCCAGCCCCAGGATGGGTTCATATTCCTCTCCTGCCAACAGACTATTTGCATGGACAGGCTACAGCCTTGTGTGCCCAGAATCTAACAGTATGGCCCAAAGATCCAAGCCAACCCAGGGCCAGCAGCAAGAATATGAACACTCACACCCTGGGCAGGGTCTTAGGGTCCAGACCTGTGACCCCTCACCTGGCACCAGCCCAAGAACAGAACAAGCAGGGCTGGCAATCAGGTCTCCTAGTTGTTCGACGCTGCAGGCCTTGGTTCATCTTCTCCCATATGCCCCAGCAGCTGCTCAGAAAACAGCCCCAGCTTTGAGCCCTCAGTGCCAAGAGAGGAGCTGGGCTTCAGGGCAGTCTCTGAACCACACCACACCCATCTGCAGGCACAAATGAAGCCAATCTTGCTTTTGGGTGCAAAGGCCAGAAGGGGTAAGGAGGGGCAGTCCCTGGTGGTGTAGGCATGGCTGCCTCTTGTCAGGCTCCATACAACTCTGGGCCTGCAGAGAGGGTAGCATTCAGGCCTCGTCACTTAAGCTGTCAGGGAAGGTCTCTTTTGCCTTGAATCCGGAGGATTCTCGGCTCCCAGGGGCTCAGAGTGGTTCCCTCAATGGCAAAGATGATTTGGTGTTAAAGGCATAGTTCCCACAGCTCTTGGCAGCTTGGACAAACCAGAGTTCAGCAAGCAGCAGCCAGGAAGTGGGTGGCACCCACCTGAACATCTGGAAGATGAAGCCCCATGAAAAGGAAACCTTAAGTCTCCAGCTGCTGCCTAGAGTAAGATGTCAAAACACAGAGACTCCACTAAGCCAAGCCACTCAAGTTTGCAGGAGGCCGGCTCCAGCTTCTTGGCGCTGCTTAGCCACAGGAAACTGATGCTAAGCGGGCTGGCACCAGTCAGGATCAGCCTAGACATTGGAGGTGCAAAGCCACATCAGAGGATGGGGCTGGGGACATACGACCAGAGCTGAGGTGCAGAGGAGGGGCCGAGTGTCTCTGTTGGCCTGGACTCCTCTCCAGGCCCACCACCCTCTGGTGATTGCTCTGGGCTGGCATTGTAGTGTTCAGCGGCAAAGCTGGCGGCCAGTAGACTGCCCTGCCATGCTATGTCCATGCTCTCCCCTGCTTGCCTGTTTGTCCCAGGAGGCTAAGAGTATCTCCTCATGCTCCTCATGGTAATGAGGGTAACTATGGACCTTGTAGGTCCTTCAACCAACTCCAGTACCAGTGTCTCAAAGGATACAAAGATACAGTCATCTGATGCTTAACAACAGGGATAGGGCCGGGGATTTAGCTCAGTGGTTCTGTTGCCTGCCTTGCAAGCACAAGGTCCCGAGTTTGATCCCCGGTACCAAAACAAAACAAAACAAACAACAGAGATATATCTGAGCAATGTGTTGCTAGGTGATTTCACCATTATACAAACATCACAGACTACTTACACAAACCAACATGGTATACTACTACCTGCCTTGGCTCTACAGTGTTACTACACTGAGTACTGTAGGCAACTGTAACACAAGGGTAAGGATTTGTGCATCTAAATAGGTCTGTTTCTACCAGCATCATCATAGGCGTGTAAGTAACTGTTGTGCTACAGTGTTATAATGGCTACAAAGACATCAGTATAGGACAGGAATATTTCAACTCAGTTACAATCTTATGAGGACCATGGTTGGATATTTTGGATATTTGGCCCAATGTTGATGGAAACATCACTATGTATAAATTCAGAAGTGG